TATATATGTGTGTGTGTGTGTGTGTGTGTGTGTGTGTTTGTGTGTTTGTTTTAGAGTGTTTGTTTGTTGTTTGTTTATTTATTCATTCATGTCTCTTTTTCCAAATTCGGACTCTCAAAATTCAGCTCGGAAGACTTTTAGTGTACGCTAACGTGATGTCTGGTGAGGCTGGGACAGAGACTACACAACACACGTGCTGGCTACAACAATACAACAAGCACGACAAGTACGGACAACTGTGCAGGCCTGACCGACGCACGCACGCACAGGCTCTGAGCCAGAGATAACGGTCAACGTGTTTTGTTGGGTTTTTTTCTTTTTCCTTTCTCTTTTTTTGTTTTTTGGAAACAACTTTCTACTCATAAAGGATCATCGCTGGGCTTCCCCCAGAGAACAACACAAAAGTTGACACGGCTATCACGCTATTTTGACGACTAACGGTGGACAAATTATAATTCCTGAAACGAAGTATATGACCACCAATCACGCTCCCCATCTTTTTTTTTCCCCTCCAATGAAAAAGGCCGAGGGTGGGGATTTCACACAGTTCAAAAAATTGAAAAGGCGGACAAAAATATATGCAATAAGATCCATTAACAACGCATGGTCCACAAATCACGTGGGCTCTCTACAGTTGGTACAATATTATAAGAATAGACAGAACAACGGAAATAGCTCAAGGTATTCGCGACAGTCCGTTGTCATTATCATTATCACCATTACTTTAATTATTGTTATCCCTGCCGTAATTGTCATTACTTTAATCATTATTACATTTGATGTTGATGTCATCGGTATTATAAGTAATAACCAGAGTCTGTGGTGTAGCATCGTGGAGTCATGCGCTAAAGACGCTTTTAACTTATTTTAAGAGCAAGGTGTCATAATTTTCTTTTTCCGAATAAAACCAAATCAACGAAACGAGCGTAGAGACTCTCAAGCAGGATTATATTAGTATAGATAATAATATAGCATCACCACGCATCCCCCCCTTCCCCCAAAATCCTATTTAGTGACTTTCACATAGACTATAACATTTACAGCAGGCAAAGAACATAATAAGACCCATCGACACCGTTCATGTTGGAGATCTCTTTACTTTACTCGAAACGACATCGGAGACGAAACTTGTCGAGACAAGGAGTATCGAGGCAATGCTCAAGGCAAGGGTGTATCGGAGGGCGTCCTTCCGCCTTCATAGATACAAACTATACTTTTTGTTGTCGCCACCGACTGGACTCAGTGTCGTCAGGCCAACCGTTTTGGTATTGTCTGCGATACAACAATATGGATTTACATGCTAAAAGAAGTAAAATAATGCGCAACGCCAAGATGTGTCAAGTGAAAAATACCCGAAAAGATTCTTTCATTCCGGTTAAAATATCAGTTTTAACCATTTTCCCATTTTATGGCACTTTCACGCGTTACAACAAAACATTTGCAACGGAAACATCAGGAAGTCTTTAAGTTTTCACAAGGCACTACAGTCAACAGCCCTTCACAAAGACCATGAATTTAACCAATCAAACAGCACACAAATTCTAGGAATAACGGGGTTTTCTCGTACAAATAAGACATTCATAAAAGACAGCATATGCGCTGTCTCACTTTCGGGGGGGGGGGGGGGGGGTTGCAATCCTACACGTGGACGTTCACATTATGAGACAAAACGATTTTTGAGATGTTATACCTTTTGCTTCAACAGAAAGGAAGGAAAATGGTTGCAATAACAATGTGTCGTCTTCAACAGGCAACAGGTTGCTCCAATAGCCATTTCCTCACGATTTCCCCCCACCATAAAATCAAGGGACTGACTAAAGGAACCAAACTAAAGGATGCACCCGAAAAATAAAGTCCAACCACTGGCTCAGTTGGAATTATTCTGGTCTCATTTAGTTTAAGTAAAAACATTTTTTACAGTACATTGCAGTACAAATCAACACAAATTAGATCACATAAGCACCAAAGACTAGAGGTGTTACAAGAGATTAATACACAAAAAGAAAAAGTAGAAGAGATTAGAACGAGATAAAATCAAACAATGAAACATTCATGAGCAGAAGCCAGTCGAGTTCCGAAGCTTCCAGTCCCCATGGCACCATCCCATCTTTAATTGTTAAAGATTTCAATCATTAATCCAGAGACCAGGCCTCATAAATGACCAAACTAACAGAGACCAAAGGAAAGTCATACCACTTATTGGGACTGGACTGTTCTTCTTCTTACATTAAAATTTTTCCTACTTCTATCTTTTCTTGATCTGGTTTCTTTTCATAAAATTAAAATTTCCTTCTTCTTAAAATATTTTCTCTGTTAAATGAGGCTGGGGAGAGGGGATGGGGTGGGGGGGTGTATCTCGAAGTATTGCCTGTACCTCAGACACAAACAGATCAAAACTTTCATGTTCTTTATATTTCCCTCTAAAAGGACTTATTGCGCCAACACAATTTAGAGAGTAATTTTAAGGATGCAGATCACTCTGCTACACGCTGAACGGTTTTTGAGACATGACCCGGTGTTTCGGCTCGATTTTTTTTTTACATTGGGGGTGAAAACCCCCAGGAAAGACAGTGGGAAATGAATTTCCCATCAACATAGTATCGAGTGCTTAGTGCAGAACAAGCCCATACACCAGTAAGAAAAGAGATGTATGACAGTCCCACACTGAGCAGTCAACCTGAAGACTACAAGAAGAAAAAATAGCAGTCACATTTTAAATTACTTTTTGAGGTAATGCCCCATGGGGAGCTTCATGACCCTACAGTTTAACGAAATAAAATGTTTTAAATGGAGCAAAATGGCAGGGTCTGTGCAACAATGAATTGAACAAATTCTCATGTCTACTTTTAAAATATGAGGTTCTAAACTTTAAAACTATGTCTCTGCTCGGTTTTTTTTTCATTGTAGTCTTCAAATGTAAAATTTATGTGGCACAGACACACACACTCACTCACTCATACAGAGACACACACACACACACACACACACACACACACACACACACACGTACATATGCATGCATACACACATAAAAGAAATCAGAAGAGCTACAGCGAAGTAATACACAATTTTATTATCAGACCTGGTTTTCAAAAAATCATGGTCACGCAAAAGAACTCAAACCTGAACAAAATAACTCATTTTCACACTATAACAGAGTTGGCGGCTGCAAAATTCATTGTCACACAAAAAAGAAGCACATATGTGAGGCAGCGTGGTGGAATCAGGCTGTCGTCAATTTTTGGGCATGCAGAGTTATTGTTGTCATCTTAAAGTTTGTTCACTTGTCTTTATTTGGTTGTAAAAAATATCCATTTATCTTGAATACAAGTCGAGATATTTGCAAAAGAAAGAAGTGGGTGTCACCTGTTTTCAGAGGTAAAATTAGTGAGAAAATGGCCGCAAAGATTAGTCATTTCCTTAGCTTAAGAGTCCGTGGTAACTGAAGATTTACAGTTTGTATGCCTTTAATCAACGCTTTTCAGAAAAATCCACACCAAAATGAGTTCTTTAAAGGGAATGAAAGGTGTTGAGCCAAAAAACAAAAATTTGATACAAATTCACAAACCTGCAGAAAAATGAAAGTTTCTTCACTTTGATTATATTGACGAGAGCCTGATTCCACCACGCTGCCTCACATATGTATTATAATAATATAATAAAACCATATTTCACACACTAATGATCATGAAACGGAATAATATTTGTGGGAGTGTACCTGTATGTGTATGTGAGTGTGGGTGGGTGTGTGTAAGCGTGTGTATGTTTGTGAGTGGGCATGTGAGTGAGAGTGTATGTGTGCCCACAGGACTTTCAGGGGAAGACGCTATGGAACCATCATTACTGTTCTCATAACTATCATCATTACTTCTATCTACTTTTTTTATTTTAGAGTTTAATTAGTTGTGGAGGAGAACAAGTGGCAGCTATATAATCCTGCTAAGTTTTCAAAACCTTCACGTGAATATTCAGAAAAGTGGCAAAATTGTTTACGCTTTGAAATATTTCTCATTTGAATTCAAAATATCGCGCAACATTTTGAACAAATTATATGCTATAACTTTTATAATTTTCACCTGTCAAGAAAATAGCCTCCAAGGGGCAGAACTCTGAAATTTCAGGCAAAAAAAACAAAAAACAACAAAAACTGGTCATACCATCAGCCTCTCTCACCAAGGGAAGTAAGAATATGTATTTTAATTCGAAAGCCACTCGCCTCCCTTGATTTTAACATGGCTTTCGTGGCTTCTCGTTGCCCACTAGGTGTTGAAGTAACTAAATTATTACCCAAAAGGTTGGACCATTTAGAAGGTATCCATACACAAAAGTCGTACAAACGGCAGAACATGGTTCACTTCCTTATAAAAGAAAGTGTCCTTCAGCAAACTATGCACTAATAATAGTAAAGATTTCGTCACTAACGTTGACAGAAATCATCATCCATAACACATAACACGTACTAGAGTAAGCGACTTTTGGGGCAAAATCAAGTTAGAACCACCAAAGCAAGTTCTTAACCTTTACTCTATCACCTCTAGAATTCTGATATTGACATCATTAGCCACTACAGAGTTATTCGTGTTTTTCAAACTGGCGTATCCACCATACATTGTTGTTGTTTTCAAATCCCTTTAGCTGCGAGCATTTCGCTCTTGGCAGCGCAATGCCTCCCTCAAGTAACCACATGTCCTTGGTATCCACCATATTGAAGTGTTACCAAAAATGTCAAACTGCTCTCTTGCATAATTAGCAGAATGTCCCTCACTTAAACTAGTACGTGATTCGGACGATGACATAAAGCTACACGAGGGATTACGTGTGAGTGAGATCACACAAAACAGCCACAGTAATGCGGCTTATCCCTCACGTTCTTTGGTCTACTCAAACAAGACACAACAGACACTCTATCCTACAGTACTCACCGCTTTCGCGATGTCCAGGTAGGTGAGTCCGTTGAAGTGCTGCCGCTCTGGCGTGTTGTTGCAGCAGACGCCGTACTGCGGCTCCACCCAGCACTCGGCCACAATCTGCACCTCCCGGTCGTCCTCGGTAGTCTCCGTCTCCATCTGGTCATCCTCCGACAGACTGGGGCAAGGAGAATCGAAAAAACTACAAATAAGGGAGAGAGAGCTTTTGTTCATCGCACAGTTCTATATATGTAGAACCTCTTTAGGTAAAAGTAAACTTCAACCCCTCCATTTGAAACTTACTTGACCTACTGCATACACTTTGGGTCTCCACTCCCTGTGAGGTCATGTTCGAGTCGAGGTGACGTCATGTGAGTTTGACATTTTAAACTTATTTTTAGATTGGGGGGTCTAAATTTACTTTTACCAAATGTAAGATACAACGCCCTGTTACTCTCTCCCTATCTTACTCCATCCCTCTCTCATGTGGTGCACAATCACTTAAATGAGCATTCACATTAACACACTCAAACACAATCACAACGCACAATAGACTCTCAACACAACTCGGATGGTTCAAAATATTCCCGTCCCATTGAAGAAATTATGCAAACCATGCATTATCCAGCACAATGACCTTTGACACTATATTTGTCTATTATCCTGCTAGAGACTAATAGATCACCATAAAAGTAGAGCACTGGACCCCATGGAAGGAAGGAAGAAGGATGGAAAGATGGAAGGAAAGAAAGAAAAAAGAAGAAAAGGAAGAAGTCGGAAAAAAGACAGGGAAAAAGCAAGGAAAGAGGAAAGGAGATTTAAAAAATGGAGGGGGAAGGAGGGGGGAAAAAGGGGGAGGGGGGGGGGGGGAGAGGGGGTTGGGAAGAGGCTCCTGCTAGCAATAATACATGATGAGGTAAGTGTCTCTATTCTTTCCCCCCTAAACCAGTGGTAGGAATGACAGAACTTACGTGTCATCCACGGACTTGGTGTGTGGCGGGAATATGATGTACTGCACCACACAGGTCTGCATATCGGTCTCGTCTGCCTCATCACACGACCCGCTCTCCTGTGACAATACAATTGTAATTGTGTATGTTTTACTGCCTTTTGTCCAACACCCGGAAGGCATTTTAGAGTTGGGTCCTTCAGTTACGTACAACGTGGCGTCGGTGGCCTAGTGGTTAGGCTCTCGAACTCGCAACCGTAAGGTCATGGATTCGAATCCCGTCCGGGACCCGACGTTGTGTCCATGGGAAAGGCACTTTACACAAATTTTCCTCACTTAACCCAGGTGGAAATGGGTACCCGGCTATAGACAGTGAACGATCTCGTGGGTTTGATAGTGTTTGAGCTGGTGAAATCCGCAGCTTGCACTGTATACTTCCGCGGAAGCCAAGAATGTTTCTGAGTGTTCTCTAAGGGTCTGTTGGGGTAATAATAGTTGTAAAGCGCATAGAGCATGCTCTTGAGCGTGGATATGCGCTATATAAATGCAATTATTATCATTATTATAACTTCAATGGGACCGAGCTAAGAACGTGGCTGCAGTAGTAGTGATCATAGTTGTAGATGTTTACACCCCCCATTGACACAAATTAGATCATCTATGAGATGGACTTCTTCTACTCTGCCCGTCAAGGTCAATCAGCACAAAGGAGGATACACCACCCCTATGAAAATATTTAACTAAAGAAACCTAATGACACGAGAATTAAACTGGCGCCTTCTGCATGCAACCGTTACGCCACAGATGCGGATACTGTTCTGTGAGGGGAACGCAACATGGTCATAAGACGGTGAGCAAGGACGGAAGACTGACCAATACCTGAAATTTGAATTCATTCCATCTTTTGAAGAAAACTCCCAAACCCAATCGATGTGAGCACAAAGCTGAGCCCTACACATTGCCAAAACAAAGGGTACACAGGATGTCCTTAAGGTGTGGACATATAAAGCAAAACGTATATTTTCAAGAAGTACTCATAATACTTTCAATATTTTATTCATTGGAATATCAACAAAAACATGACTTGCATAAATTTGCAATGCAAAGATCAAAGTGCTTTGTGAAATACAAGTGAATCCAAAGCAAGAACTTCATGCTGATTTCAGAAACAGATAAATTTTGAAATATTGTCTGTACAGCCAGTTCTTCCTCTTCAAACATTGTTTTTTTTGTTTTGTTTTTTATTTTATAATACTCAACATGCACACAGAAATTGTATTTGTTTTGTCCCCCCCCCCAAAAAAAAAAAAACCCAAAGAAAAAGAAAAAACCACCAAAACAACCAACCAAAAAAAATTGTATCCCGGAAAAAAAAAAAAACCCAAAGAAAAAGAAAAAAAAAGAGGAGTAGATCTGCCATTTGATGATTATAAAGATGGTAAAATAGGAGAAGTATCCTAGCCATGTGGCCACCATGATGAGTCCAGACATACCTTCATGTCAACCTCCAAGACCAAGTTGGTCACCCCAGCTCCAGAGACAGCAAAATGGAATCCCTCCTGAAGCCGTAGCCTAATGAAGAAACCATGTAAAAATACTCAAACTAAAGAATAATTGTACACTTCTAAAGCTCCCATTACCACAAGAGTCCCACATTTATGTAAAAATACTGAAACTAATGAAGCATTGTACATTTCTAAAGCCCCCATAAACAAGAGTCTCACATTATGTCTGAGCAAATTAAGTTTTACCACAAACAAGTCTGAACTCTCCACTTTGAACCTTCACAACTCATACCAGTCTCGTTCCCACATTTTACCAGTTGATGTAGATCCAAACTCTCTCCCTCCCAATACTGTGCTGTACCCTACAACTCACTTGATGTTAGTAGCCATTATGCAGATACGGTACCTGGAAGCCATGCAACAGTGCAGCCAACCACGCATATACCTCTAACATTCCCACATGCTGTCCGTCTCCACTAAGCTATAATAATTGTTATTATAAGCTTTACGTCATCACTCCTAGCTCCGTCCCTCACTCCAACAAAGTTGTTGTTGTTATTAATCCAGCAACAGCTACGCCCTCGCTCTACTGTCCAATGCCATGTAGTGATAAGTGCAGGTTTGCTGCAATGTTCCATAGAGTGTGTTGCCAATGTTAAGTCTCAGAGGGAAAAGTGTAGCTCTGATGTCATTTAAGGCGGTGCAGTGGAACAGGTGATGATTCACAGTCTCATACGCATTGTCACACAAAGGACACATTGGGGGAAGTTCTGATTTCATTCTATTCAATTGAAAAGCTCCCACCATAAAACCTTACAACTCACTTGGTAAGAGTGGCCAGCATGCGACTGATAGCCACCATAGAGACGGCCGCCTGGCTGTTGGCTTGGACATTCCAGACCCAGCGCTGGTGCTGCAGGTAGTGTGTCAGCGTGCGGAACACCGACTTCATCGGGTCGTGGTGCTGACGTGGCACCAGCTCTCGCATCGGCTCCTTCACCACGAGCATGTCGGACGGCTTGCTCTCATAGCTGTCACAGCAAAGGTAGGGCAAGTGTTACTCTCACAATGGCACAAGGCGTACAATATTAACATTCAAAAGTGATAAATTAATACAAGCAAACTGTTCCTAGTACAGCAGCCCCAGGTCATCAAGGTATAACTTTACGAGGAAAAAAAAAGAAGATGAAAAGGGCACACATCAGTAAAAAAACCCAAAAAAACAATATAATATAAAATACAAAATTCGTTTAGTTTTGTTTCAGTAAGAGTTTTTACGGCACTTGCAATACAATAAGGTAAAAAAAAGTGCCGAAGATTAGAGGTGTTACAAGCGAGTAACAAACACAAAAGAAGAAGGAGGAAAGATCAGGACAATAGATGTCTGATAGGAAAGAAGGAGCAAACCACACCAGAGTACCCGCCAACCCCCCACATACAAAATTTTAAAAAAAAACCAAAAAAAAACATGAAGACGAAATATAAAGCTTTGAGATATCATTAGGAAGTGGGTGTTTAGAGGACACCTGTCTTTAACTATACGCCAATAGCTTATAAAGGATATCCTGTTCTTTCCCCGGGAACAAACAAATATTACTGTGTCCGTGGAATTCTCTACAACTCCAAGTTAAACAAACTCCTTGGGATAATATCTAAAACCCATTCAGCAAAAAGGTAAGAAGCCTACAAATGTATCTCTTTCAAATCATCCTTCTCCACACAGAGCTAAGAAAACACTTGTTACGGTAAAAGATTCCTGTAAAAATTACACCAGGGACATGACACTGAATATTTTTAAAGGTCAGTTTTTAGCTCAAAGCAGACCAATAGATGGAGGGGGATGTTATAAATGGAACAATGAACATAAAAAGCAAGAGAGTTACGTAATCTGGCCATGTATCACAAAAAAGAAAAGGAAGAAGTAGACCAGACCAGAGCACCCACCAACCAGCCAGAAACCAAAATACAGCAAGGAAAATAAACAAACCATCGGAAGAAACACACACACGGGGTGCCTTAATCATAACAACAACGAAACAGGTGGAGATAGTTATAGGCCACTTTAAAACAAAAGTCCATTTTGCCAGCAGAGCCCATGTGGGGAAAGAACAGAAGAAGGAGCAGCAGGGAAGCTAATAACGGCCTAATTATAACATGCCTCTGCCTAGGTGTTCATGTGTGATGTTTTAACTTTTGAAGATTTCGCCTCCCTTCCCCCCCCAAAAAAAATACCCAACCAAAATCAAAAACAACCCACAGGAGGGGATGGAAGTAAGTTTTAAAGAGGCTTTCAGAAACCATCCAGCAAAAGATACACTGCTGAATCCACATCTTTTTGGTAACAGAGGCCAGAAAATTGGTTGGGCAATGAACTTTCATCTCGTATACTATACGATTCCACATGACGCGTTCAAGACATGTTCCCACTAGAAACTCAACAAAATCAATATAACAAACCAACACAAAAAACCTTAGTCAAAGTGACAGGTGGGGGGCTCTCGTGGCCTAGAGGTTAAGGTTTTGACCTCTCATTCAAAAGGTCCCGGGTTCGAATCCGGGTAGCGACCGAAAAATTTTCTTCTCTAAATTTGTCTCCTTTCACCTCATTTCCTGCTCTCTAGCAATCTTCTGTCGTCTGCTTTCGTCTCCTCTTTCTGCTCCCACCCCTTCACCTCCTTTGCCCCTTCCTCTGGGCTCCTGATTCTTTCTGCAGCCTTTCTACTGCTACTCCTTCGCTTCTTCTTACTGCTGTCTTTCAGCCACACCCCTGATCTTCTGGTAGGAAAGATCTACACCTAGCCTTCTCGGACAAGGGCGAAAAATCTCGGAGGGCCCGTGTACAAGTTGCGCACGTAAAAGATCCCTTGGTGGTCTAAAATCGAAAAGAGTAGGCTTCAGCCGCCACCCACGCAAAATTCAAAATTTCCTACCAACTGAAAATATTAGGTGTGTCCCGCGCGCTCATATGACCTTATGCAGTTGCGAGCGCCGTAAAACACTTTACAAAAACCAAAAAAAACAAAAAGTGACAGGTGTGCACAGTCCAACCAACCTATTACTTCTTTGTAAAAAGGAGCAGAAAGTCATGTGTTTCTAGAACTCTACAGACAAACTACTATCAATAAAGAGAGTAAAATAAACAGGCCCCCAAAATTTCACAGATCATGTTGTCAGCTTATGTCATTTGTCCTGAGAACTTACTTTACTGGCCTGGTTTTTTTTCCCAACATACATGTTGTTGTTATCGATCCAGGCAAACATACATGTACATTCTCATATCCCCATGGGATAAGCAGTATAGGCTTAGTGCTCAAACACTGTCATACACATTTACTCAACACTGATGGTCAAAAACACCCATTCGTAGTTGGGAGATCAAATTTCCTGAAGACATAATGCTGTTTTTTTCCCAACATACATGTACATTCTCATATCCCCATGGGATAAGCAGTATAGGCTCAGTGCTCAAACACTGCCATTCATATTTACTCAACACTGATGGTCAAAAACACCCATTCGTAGTTGGGAGATCAAATTTCCTGAAGACACAATGCTGCTCCAAACAGAGTGCGAGTCCGGCAAGGTTGAAGAATACCTTCCTTGTTAAGCACCTACACCTAGATCCTACAAATTAAATTACTCTTTATATGTAGTGCTATATTAACCATAACATCTACATTTTTCTGAAGAAAATCATCAGTGAATTTTGTCCACAAGATCAACCAAATTCTGTATAGATAATATTATACAGGTCTGAGACAGTTCTTATTCAATCTATCTGGACTCAATTCAAGAGCCTATGACTGGGACAAACCCTTATTACCGGTCAATAAAAGCACGACTGCATTCTGCTTCATCAATTACTTGCAAGCTATCATTCAATAATATAATAAGCACCAACACTAAAAGAGAGAGATGACAAAATGGAGGTCAGCACCATAAGCATGATTACAGGAGCAAAATATGAGAAAATAAAGGGGGGAAAAGACAGTAAGTATCTCTTAAAGTGTTCACACTTGCCATTCAGTCTCAATGTCTTAAAAGTTGTTTCAAATCATTAATTCTTTCACCCTGTCACTGAATACTAAGAAAACCACACAAAAAATTCAACCTTGAAAGACGGTGGCATTTCGTAATCAACAATACAAGTTATGTCTAAACTAAGCTTCTGAATATGAGCTACTGCTATTGAAAGCTGATTGAACCCCTGGCATCATATATCTGACTTCTACTTACGAATGGTAGAAAACTGTTTTTTCGATCTTTCAAGCAAATAATTAGTTATGCAGATGCTTGAAAGTAATGACAATTACATAAACAGTGTATAAGTATGTACACAGTTATTAAACATTTCAGGACAGCAATCAAATCCTAAGGACAGACACATTTTCAAAATATTTTTATAGAAGATTACAATGGCATTTCCTTCTCCTTTAGCTTTGCCAAACATAAAAAGGACAACTTAAAAAAATAAAATACAACTGCAATATGCAGTACCAGCCAAAAGAGGGAAAGGGCCAATATGCCCATGGGTCACAACTAGCAATGACACCC